GAGATCTGGTGAGAGGGTCGCGAAACGGCGAGAGATCTGGTGAGAGGGTCGCGAAACGGCGAGAGATCTGGTTAAGAGAGTCTGATTACAAATCTTCATGTGATTAAACAATTTAAATAAAACACTGACTTACAGAGGCAAACAAAGAAGCAGAGTCACATATAACATTCGCACAGGCCTCCCCTGAACAGTCTTCCTGTGACCCTCCCACCAAACCGCAAAGCAGGCAGGAATGTGAGTGAGCACTCCCAAAGGAGCTAAGAAATGAAGAAGGAGCATAAGGGAACTGTGGGTAGCAAGCTTAAGTCAGAAGGCAATCCAGAGAACCCAAACCTACTACTGTCGAGTTGGTTCTGACTCATAGTGACCCTCTAGGACAGGGCAGAACTGCCCCATAGGGTTTCCGAGGAGCAGCTGGTGGATTCAAAATGTCGACCTTTAGATTAGCAGTCGAGGGTTGCTACGAGTCAGAATCGACTCAATGGCAGCAGGTAATCCAGGGAAGGAGACATAAATTATCCAGCACCCAAAGGTTAAATTCTGCACTCATACCAACTATGATTCCTGGTCCAGATGATGAATAGATGACCAGCAACGGTCTAAAGAGATCCTGGAATGCAGAGACTTCTCAGGAGCTCGAATGCACTCAAAGCCAAGCATTAAAGGAAGTTAAGTGGCATAAACACTGACTAAGCATCTCAATCAAGTAGATACTGTAGTCAGGATTCCAAGGAGGAGCAGCTCTAGATAAACCCCTGTATAATGAAAGTTTATCTTTAACATTCTTTCATCCCCTCCAATGCCCTCTCTTCACCCTATAGCCTAACGGTGTCGTGATACCCAAAGACACTCATTTAAGTGTTCCATCTAGGAATGCCCTCACCCCCACCCTAAATTACAGAAGACTCCTAAATAACCTCTTTAATCAATAGCTACAGTCCCACAGTGGACGGATCCTTGCTAGGTATTAGATGAAAACAGTCTTTTTACATTAATTCAAACCAAGTTACAAATCACCAAGCTTAATCCTCTCAAAACAAAACAAAACCCGTGACCATCGGGTCAAGTCCGACTCATAGCGACCATACAGGACAGAGTAGAACTGCCTCATAGGGTTTCCAAGGAGTGGCTGGTGAATTTGAACTGCTGACCTTTTGGGTAGCAGCCAAGCTCGTAACCATTGCACCACCAGGGTGCCAATCCTCTCAAAGGAGACACTAAACTCAAAAGAATATCATAATTTAGGATAGTGTGACCAAACAAAACAAAAAAACCCAAGGATGAGGAAATATTCTAAAGCAAGGATCCTTTCAATGGGGAACTTACAAATAAAGCTGTAGGCCCTTCCCTGAACAAAGACAGTTGCTCTGGGGGTAAAATACAAAAGGAATATTATTTTAATATGGACTCATTTTCCTTTACTTGACTATCCTGTCTATCAACATTGCCTAAAAGCTAAATAATTAATACACTTTCTCCTCACTTATCAACTATCTTGTATTTTGCATTTATGACAATAGTAAAAGATCTACTATACAACTATTTTGCACATTAAGGACATACAACTGGCAGTAATGAACGCCACGGTGAGAGGCAAGAGTAACGCTGGCTTTGATGGTTAAGCTTATGTGTCAACTTGTCTATCCCATGATTCTCAGTGGTTTGGCAGTTATGTAATGATATAATTTGGCAGTTATGTAATGAGGTGATTTGGCAGTTATGTAATGATGTAGTCATCCTCCATTTTGTGATCTGATGTGGTCATCCTCCACTTTTGCATAACAACAATTTCACATAACAACCTGGTCTTTGGAATCTAACCATGTCAATAAGTGAGGAGAGGGTGTAGTTGTTCATTTCCCTCTCTGAGATAAGCTAAGTCCCCATCAACCAAGATCTGACTCACAGCAATGATATAATAGAAGACATCAGCCTCAGATTAGAGGAAATCCTCACCCCCCAACACAGAGTGAACCTGTGTTTTCTCTGTTATTCTTCTCACCTCAAATATCTTGTTGTCCTGCCTCTGGACATGGATTTTCTGGTAATACGTGAGGTTGAGCAGCCCCTTGTCAACCAAGTGCTCCATCTTCTCAGGCAGTGGTCCTTGGAAAGTCAAATGCTTCTCACCATAAGCCACAGCACGGGCACCCAAGTGCAACCTATAGGCCACAGTTTGTTTATCTCGAGGATGGATGCTACAGGATAAAGAACAAGCAGAGAACTTTGGGTTTGAGCTCAACAATAACTACACTTTAAAAAAAAAAAAAAAAAAAAGGAACTTACCCAAGGGCGCCCATTGGGAAGGTGAGAGTAAAGATAAGGAAACCTAATAGTCAACGATCAGGGGTTAATCAGCTTAAAACAAACAGTAAATGGTAACCACAGACGGAGCTCTGGGACGGAAATCTTGAGACAATAGATGACTTGGAAAGAAGGAACGGAGGAACACAGGGTGGCAGGGAGGGACGAAGGGAGAAAAAGTATTTGAATTAACCTAGCAGAGCTAACTTATGAGACTATTTCAACTGCTAAAAGTAACGTGCTTCATCTGAATCAGCTGTTCAATATTTGGTCTCCTCCAGGTTTTATTTACTGACTCAATAAATATTATCAAGCTCCTAATAGAATCTAGACACTATATGTTGGGCTCTACTCCACATGCGAAACCCCCTCTTCTCCTACATCTAGTGTATGTTATTCATCAGGACTGTTCACAAATATACCATGACCCCTCCTTCTGAGGACACGGCAGAATTCCATTTCCTGCTCTCACTGAAGCTAGGCATGGGTGTACAGCTCGCTTTGGCCAATGCAGTGTCAGCAGAAGTGACCTGTGCTGCTTCCAGGTGGAAGAATTTAATTGCCAGCGTGAGGCTTCAATGTGACCCGAGGAGCACCGATCTACTTGGAGCCTCTGTCGCTCTGGGTCTGTGAATGACTACAAGGAAATATGCCTCTCTAGTGATCTTCTTTGGATATGCAGTGTGAGCAAGAAATACATTTTTTGTTGCATCAAGCCACTGAGATGTTGCTGGGTTTTGTTACTACAGCACATCCCAGCGTAAGTGACTGCTCTGTAATGCTTCTCCATAGGCCAATCCTTAGACCACCTGCTCTCTGCCCCTCACATCAGAGTGAGGGACTAAAGACTAAGAACATACACTGCTCAAGCAAAGCCCAAGAAGTGACATACCTGCCGAAAGGAGAATTCCTATCACCGAGATCCATCGCGACAGCCATGAAGGTGTTGGGCATCCTTACATTGGGAGCAAAGCCTAAGTCTGCCGTCTGGTGCCAACGGATTTGGGGAAATCCATCCCCTGAGGTGGTGTTAGACAAATATGAAGACAACTAGAAAGTAGAGATATGGTCGTTTTTATTGCATCAGAACCCTAAGATGGAGTCTTTTCCATGGACAAAGCCTTCCCCCTGCTCTGTGTCACCCATCTGTTCAGAGGTTCATTCACCAAGGATTTACTGAGCGTCTCTGTTGTGGAAGTCTTTCCAACAATGGATGCAACAACCTCTCTCATCCCACGTGCACTTTTACATGTGACTTCAGCTTATCTCCCACCAAGAGGTGGAGTCTAATTCTCCCCCAACTGAAGCTGGGCTGGCTCTGTGATTTGTTCCCCAACCAACAGAATGTTGGCCAAGTGACTTCTGAGTCTATGCCTTAAAAGGCTTTGCCTTCTGATTTCATTCTCTTGGAACGTTGAGCTGCCCATGTAAAGAAGTCCAGCCACTATGCTGGAAAGACTATGCAGAAAGAGAGGCCTGGGAAACCGAAAGATCATGAGGAGACAGAGGCTCTAACGTGCCACTAATCCCATCTGAGGAGCTAGTCATGTGAATGAGGCTGTCTGAAATCCTCCAGTTCAAACGCAGCCACGTGAGCAAGCCCAGCGGATTCCGCACTGAGCAGAGGATGAGCCATCCCAGTGGAGCCCTGCCTGGTCAACCATAGAATCATGAGCAAATAAATGGCTAATGTTTTAAGCCACTAAGTTTTGGGGGTACTTTGTTACACAGCAATAGATGTCTGATACATCTACATACAACACAGGGCGAGGCATTGGAGGGAAGCAGAGCAGAGCCTGCCCTTGAGCATGTGGTAAATTGTATCACAGAGCCCAATTTCTCACCTCTCCCTGTATCCCCACCCTCCTGCCATATAGTTTTGCAGTTCCTCCCGTTTTGAGGAAGGATATATTTCCCATCCCTTGAGTCTGATTTGCTTTGGCCAATAGACTGAGGCAGAAGTGAAGTGTGTAAATCCCTAGGCTGGACCTCAAGAGACTCTGTGTAGTCCCACTCGCTCTTCTGTACTTCTGCTCTCACCATGAGAAGGACATGCCTGGGCTAGCCCACTGGTCTCTGGACAAGGATGAGGGTTGTGGATAGAGGAGCCTCATCCAATCTGCTCCAGCTAAGCTTAGCCTGGAGCAAGCCCCAGCTGACCCACAAAGATATGAAAGAGGCCAATGGAGATCCATCAACCTCCACCTACCCAGATACATGAGCTTTATAATAATAAATAAATGTGCCTGCAGCAACAGAGGAAAGAGAGTCAGGAATAGGAGGAGGAAATGGAATGTGTGGCTAATTGCCTCCATGAACAACTGCCTCCTTTGCCATGAGACCAGAAGAACTGGATGGTGCCTGGCTACCATTACTGAATATTTTGATCAAAGATTCTATGGAAGAATCCTGATCAAAAGGGGAAAATGCAGAACAGATTTCAAATTCTCACGGACTCCAGACTTCCTGGAGCCATGGAGCTAGATGAACCCTTGAAACTATTGCCCTGAGATAATCTTTAAACCTTAAACCAAAAGTAGCCCCTAAAGTATTTTTAAAACCAAATAATACTTTAGCTTAATAAGTAAAGGATGTCTCCTTGAGCACTATGCCCTTTCAAGATCTATCTATATGGGATCAAACTGACAACAGCAACTCAAAAGATTAGATAGGAATCTTAATGGGCAGTGAGTTTATGTTAATGGGGGAGGAACAACTCAGAAAAGGAGGGTGAGAATGGCTGCACAACTTGAAGAATGTCATCAATGTCACTGAATTGTGCACGTAGAAACTGTTGAATTGGTGTCTGTTTTGCTGTGTATACTCTCAACAGCAACAACACAATCAATAAAATTTTTAAAAATAATAATAAATAAATGTTGTTTTAAGCCACTAAGTTTTGAGGTGGTCGGTTACATAGCAGTAGCTGACCAGTACAAGTATTTTATAGCTTTGTTAGAAGAACAGACCTCCACGTAAGAAATGTTAATAAACGATAGCGTACGTGCAACGGTTAAGCTCCCGGCTGCTCAACAAAAGGTTGGTGGTTTGAACCCACCTAGCCACTCCATGGGAGAAAGACCGGATGAACTGCTCCTGTAAAGAGTACAGCCAAGAAAACCCTCGGGGGCAGTTCTACTCCGTCACATGGACTCACTGTGAGTTGCAATTGACTTGACAGCACCCAACAATATGGATTAAATGCTGAACTGGTGGCATAAAGAGGAAGTGCTACACATTTAGAAGACCATCATTAGGAAACGATAACTATATTATTCTAGGAAAGATTATTACAGGAAAACATGGCCTGAAAAGGTTATTAAAAAAATGTGGATGGGCACAGAAAATATGAGAAGTCACTCCAAGTAGGACGGCTCAGATTTCAGGTGTTAAAACCTTAGAAGATGCAAAGGTAGGAAGGGGAAAGGCCGTTCTGGGAGAGAGAGAGAGAGCCATCGGGCTGGAATGGAAGATTTCTGTAGGAAAGACAAGGTTAGAAAGACAGCGAGGCAGGGTTTGGCCAGAGTCTGTACTTCACGGTACAGGCGACAGGGGGCCGCTGTAAGATGACGGTCTCCCAGCACTGCCAGGGCACTAAATGCCACTCAGCTGCACACTTTAAAATGGTCAGTTTTATGTCACGTGAATTTCACCTCAACAACAACAACAAAAGACCGGGGGCCACCGACGTGACCAAGTGATCAAAGGACTGTTCCAAGACGGTAATCTAGTGGTCGTACAAATGGGTCTGGAAAGAAAAAAGGGACGAAAGCAAAGAGACGGATTTGTTAAGAAACTACGACAATATTCTAGACAAACTAAAAGAAAGGTCTAACCTAGAAGGACAGTAGTGGGCGTGGGATGGTTAGATATAGGGCAATCTGAAAGACAAACTGACGAAACCTGGCAACCAGCTGGATCTGGGGCACAAGAGAAAGGATGTCATCCATCCCTTAAAATCTGCAACATCTGAGTCGTCCACTTGGAGTCTAGGGCACCTCACCAAGTAATATATTTGAGAAATCACATTTTTCCAGAAAGAGTCTCTGGAATGATCCGCAGCTCATACAATATCAGTCAGCTCATTTATTCATTTAACAAACGTACTGAGGGCCTTCGCTGCGCCAGGCCTAATATTAGCCCAGGAGACAAAGCAGTGAACAAAACAAATCCCTTCCTTTACTTACATTCTAGGGCGGAGACAAGCAATAAACAAGATGAATAAGTAAATCACATAGCGCTTGAGAAAGTGATAATAGCACTGGAGAAAAATATAGCAGGGAAAGCGGACAGGGATTGCCAGGGTTGAAGGAAGATTAGGAGGAGGTTAAGAAAGGAAGCCACGAGGCTATCTGGGTGAATTACTAAAGGCCACCGAATGGTATACTCTAAAACGATTAATTTTATGTTATGTAAAGTTCTGCATGTGGTAGGCACAATTCTAAATTAACCCCAATGACCTCTGCCCTTATATCCTCCCCTGAGTGTGGGCAGAACCTCTAACTTACTTCTAAGCAACAGAATATGGCAAAGATAATGGGATATCACTCCCATGATTATGTTGTGTTATATGGCAAAGATGAAGGGATTTGGCAGCTGTAAGTAAGCTTCCTCATCAGTTGACTTCAAGACAATCAAAAGGGAGAATATTATGGCTGGCCTGACCTAACCAGGTGGGCCCTTTAAAAGAGGATCAAGAAGTCAGAGACTCTCTACTGCTGGCCTTCAAGAAGCAATCTGCCATGAGTGCTCCAACAAATGAGCTCTGCCAACAACCACACGAGCTTGGACGAGAACCCCCAGCCTCAGATGAGACCTCAGCTCTGGTTGACACCTTGATGGCAGCCCTGAGCAGAGAATCCAGCTCAGCCATGCCCAGATTCCTGACCTATGGAAACTGTGAGATAATGAATGTCTATTGCATTAAGCCACTAACTCTGTGGTTATTTGTGCAGCAACAGACAACGAATACACTGTGGACAGGAAGAAACAAAGGCGCTAGGCAGGAGCAGGCCCGGTGTGCTTAAAGAAAAGGCAGGCGGCCAGGGTGGCCGAGGCAGAGTGAGCACAGAGGGGAGAATTAGGAGCTGAGGTCAGAAAGGTGACGGGGACTGGGGGTGGATCACGTATGGCTCTGTTGACCTCACAGATATGAGGGAGCCACTGGAGGCTCTTGATGTGGCTTACATTTTACAGGGTCACTCTGATATACTGACAATATCCTACACGGAGAAAAAGGTAAAAGCAGGAAGACTCAAGGAAGAGACGGTGGCTTAGACTCGCATAGGCACGGTAAAGGTAGTGGATAGTGGTCAGATCCTGTATATATACTGAGCCAAGAGGATGTGCTTCCATCTACTCTGGAAGTTGATATACTGCCGCTCCTGGACAGGACAGAGGCTCCCAGGAAAATTCTTTAACATTACTGCGATGCACGTGGTCCCCGTTTCTTCCTTACTTCCTTCTCCAATGCTGACATCTCGCTGATCTTTCACTTAGATAGCATCTTAGTGATAACCTTACTTCAGTCAATGGGAGGCATTAAACTTTTATCTTTTACAAACCATAATCTAGCAATACAGTAAGTCAGACCACAACTAGGAAACAGTCTGGGCCAACAAACACACTGTCTTTTGACTCCATTTCAAAATTTCTGACTCCATTAAAGGAGCTACACTATACATAGACTGCTCCACCCAGTCTTACCACTCACACAGCCTAGAAAATACCTGGGACTGTCCACTACAAATGTAGCCAAACGACGCTTCAATAGAGGATGTTATCTGCTTCCTGAGTTGCTCCAGAGAACAGAAAGCCATCAGGAAAACAGGGACCAAGTTGTAGCAGCAGCAGAAAGTAGCCTTGGATGTAAGGAAGTCAGGGGACATAGCCAATCCTCTTCCTAAAAAGATACAGTGGCAAGTCGAATTTAACATCTGAAATGATAAAAGGTGCCTGAAGCTTCACAATGGAATAGAAAATGGGAATGAAAAGACCCAGTGAGGTGCTTCCACGACGTCCAGAAGAGACAGAACTAGCCAGAAGAGTCTACACCAAGTACCAGCCTGAAGCCGGACAGGAAGAAACACTGGTTTACAGCCACTCAAGCCCAGGCTGCCATCTATGACGCAGTTTGCTGTGAATTCCTGCAGCAATTCCCACGCTATTTCACTGGCTGCATTACCACAGATCGGCCACATGGGGGAACCAGCGTACTGGATACCCAAAGTAAACCTTTGTTTTCCCTAGCGTGAGACCCCCGGGCACTGTTCAGTCTCGGGCGGGAATTAGTAGAAATAGGGCTGCTAATGAAGGCACAGAGCAGCCAGATATAAAGGTGGCCACATTCAGAGGATTTTACAAATCACACACCGCTTTGGAGCCCTGTTCCACTGCTCCTCCAAACCCCAGTCTCCAGCCTTCTGCTCTCCCTTCTCTTCCAAGCTTCAGATCAGCTCTCCGCTAATAACTCTAGATACACATGTCGAGCCCTCCTCCCTCTGCTGAGCTCAAGTCCTCCATCTCTAGCTGTGCACTGGTTATTTCAGCCATCATTTCAAACCCAACATCTCTCTAAAGCCAATTCATCCTTCCTTATGGACCAATGTCTCCCTAGATTTTCTCATCTCTCAAGTTAATAATAATAATCACTAAGGTTATTATCCAGCACATAGGTGCCAGGCTTTACATGAATTAACTCGATACTTAAAATAACAAAGAGATTCCACATCTCGTTCAAAATCACACAGCTAAAGACGTGTCAGAGCTGGGATTTGAATCCAGGCAGACTAGCTCCAGATTCCATGCTCTCAACCATTATGATGTCATATTTGATATTTCCCTTTGATGGTAGGGACCATGCGTATAGTCTCCTTGTCCCCTATGTGAGCAACATATTTTTGTGGATGAGAAAGCACAGAGACTAAGAGACTTAACCCTAAACCAGAAGGCATGAATACAAGAACCAGGTCTCTCTGATTCCTGCTACATTTCTAGGACCTACACAGTTCATGGCATATAATGAGCAGTCAACACATACTTCTGGTTTGAACGGCCTGGGGTCACATTCAAATCACCGTGTATACAGGCTAAGAGAAAAAAAAAATGTACCTCAAACGTCCAAATGTAGTTTCCACCAATGGTAATATAGAATTGGGCACATGAGCTGCTTTGAAAATAATGAGCAGAATGAACTTGTTTCAAAGTCAAAAACAAATGTAGGAAAAAGAAAGAAAAATGATCAAAAAAAGAATTTTAAGTGGACAGAAGGTCCATCAAAATCTTTATCCAGAAAACTGGGTATGGTGAACTAGGACAAGGTAGGGGACATGGGAAGACGGTGAGGAGGATGTAACAGAGGCAGAGGTCTGGGACTATGTACTGTGTACGGCCAACTCAAATATTAAAGCCTCTCCCACTCCTATGTCATCAGGTGGGCCTTGTTTTTACATTTCCTTGTTTAATTTTCTGTGTACAGAAAAGACAGACCAACCACCCTGGGTCTTGGAGGGGTCATATAAACAGGTGAGACAAGGCCACTGTGATCTTGTCAAATATGTTTATTCCTTTTATCGGAAACCCTGCTGGCGTAGTGGTTAAGAGTTCAGCTGCTAACCAAAAGGTCAGCAGTTTGAATCCACAAGGCGCTCACTGGAAGCCCTATGGGGCAGTTCTATTCTGTCCTATAGGGTCACTATGAGTCGGGACTGACTCGACAGCAATGGGTTTGGTTTCGCTTTTTGTTTTTTTTTCAATGCAAGGCTGAGAGCTCAACCTACCAGTACTAGTACCAGTTGCCGCCGAGTCGATTCCGGCTCTTGGTGACACCATGTGTGTCAGAGAAGAACTCTGCCCCACAGGGTTTTCAATAGCTGATTTTTCGGAGGAAGATCACCAGGCCTTTCTTCTGAGGTGCCTTTGAGTAGACTCGAACCTCCAACATTTCGGCTAGCAGCCAAGTGTGTGAACCATATGCCCACCCAGGTTTCTCTGAGACATGTTTTGTCATTCACGTGTTAAACCATTATTTAACGAGCACCAGCCAACGAGGCACTGGGAATACAAACGTGATCCAGGGAAACAACAGTCATGCGTGCAACCTGCTTGCAAGTCAAGGGGAAGCGAGGGGAGCATGTGTCCGGGAAAGTCACAGGCAGCCTGCTGACTTACATCCAGGCTGAGACCTAAAGGGTGATTCAAGTCAGCTCTGAGAGTGCCAGAGGGGGCTGTTCAGGCAAAGAGCACAGGCAGCAGCCTAAGAGCGAGAGAGCACGGCTCGTCCTAGCAGGCGGAAGGGATGACACCAGGCTAGGGAGGGCGTGGGGAGGCAAGTGAAGAGTATAAAGTCACACAGCCGTTCCGGGGAGAAATCTGGGAATGTGCGCAAAGCTTTTACAAAATGGGCCTTTTGACCCCGCAACTTCATTTCTGGGAATTTATCTTATGAAAATAATTAAGCATGTATGCAATGATTTAGCTACAAGGAAAATAAAGACGCTACTGCTTATAAGAGCAAAATGTTTAAAATAACCTAAGCATCTACTGAGGACTAGTTAAATAAACTATAGCACAATCATATTTTGGAATACTCTGCAATCACTCTAAATTGTGTTCAAGATTAATATTTGACATGAAAAAATGTTCACAATATGACATGAAGAGAAAAGATATGATACAATACAGTATTATGGTTTGGGTCTTATTTCAAAAATATATGAGCCTACAAAAAAAAAAACACACACACACACACACACACACACACACACACACACACACACACACACTCTCTATGTATACGAGCCAAAAAGGTCTGCTTATTTCTGGATTGTGGAATTATAAATATTTTTAGCTTTTTTGCTTACCTTTTTAATATGTCTTCAATGAACATGTAATGCTTTTATAATAAGAAATATTAGCCACTCATTAACTTTTTAAGAGGATTTAATTGTCCCATCAGTGAACTGAGATGAATTACGCCTTCCATTGAGTTCTCAGCCAGAAGGGGATGAGGCGGAAAAAGGAATATGAATTCCTGGAAAGAGATCTAAATAGTATATCCCCACACTAGTACCCATAAGCCCTCTTCCTCTCAAGACATACCTGGACAAATCCAAATGGGAAAAAACGTTCTGTCTGTCCCTGGGAGCCATGGTGAAAGGCTTGGCGCCAGTCCTCAATGAGTGCCGGGAAGGTGCAATTATACAGGTCCATGTTGTAATTTGTATTGGACTCCCCTAGAAACAGTCAAACTGTGAGAGGGCTTTGGGGTAGACTGCAAAAATGGCCACTGGTCATGACCCTCCCTCTATCCACGCCCTGTGGTAGGTGGCCTTTCCAGCCTCTCAGGACTGGCCTTGGGCCTTGCCCAGCCAATGCGGCCTTAGCAGATGTGCTGCAAGCTCTCTCACGATGCACGTGGACCTGAGATGACCACAGAAATGCGTGTCAAAGAGCTTAGCACAGGATGAAAGGCCACCCGAGAACCACGGCACCCCAGCCACCAGACAACCTGCCAGGTGACCAAAGATGCATAGGGGATGACAGCAGAAACTAGCTGAGCTAACTCAGACCAGACTCTGTTAACCTACAGAATAGTGAGCTAAAGAAAAGGACCATTGTTTTAAGCAACTAGGTTCTGGAGTAGCTTGTTAGACAACAGAAACTGATACAATGGAGAAACAGCGAGCAGAATACTCACCCTGGTACCATATCATGCCTTTCAGGGCCATAGTACGTAGCGGGTGGATCATGGCATTCCAGAGCACAGAATGCTTACTGGGGCCTCCCAGAGAGTCAGGTGGGATGAACCTGGGGCACATAAGATGCACGAGCATCAGCAGAGAGCTAGTGACTTACCCCGTGATGATCCCTACACCAGCAGCACTCCGGCTTCTGCTGGGGTGAACTGCTGGTGAAATGACTTTCACACCCAGGATCCCCCCATATAGGTATTCAGCAAGCTTTCTGTGAGTCAGAGCAGGTCATCCCAGTTGATCACCGGATGAGGCAATTAACGCCAGACAGGCAATTAACGTCTGCGTTATGAGTCTCTCACATAGACCAGGACTCGGGGAATGGACACTTGGATGGTTTGAAGCTTTTTGCTTTTATAAGGAATGCGTGACTATCTTCCTTGTAGCCAAATCACTGCGTACATGCTTAATTGTTTCCTTAAGGTGAATTCCCAGAAATGAAATTGCTGGGTCAAAAGACAAATATTTCAGGCTCTGAACATGTTCCAAAACTTCTCTACAGAATGGTTGCATGAATTTACACTCTAAGCAGCTGTGTAGGAGAAAGCCCACTTCCCCGCACCCTCTCTGACCCCTCTGTCCCCCAGAGATCCAGGAGAGTGGGGTGGGCTGAGTCCGACGCTGCCCCCTACTCTATTGCAGGGCATTCTCTCTGTCCTAACGTTGAATGTCTTCACTCTCCCACAGGCAAACTTTTCCTCCAACTATACCACGAGCTCAAGCCCTTCCTCGTCCTGGAGGCCTTCCCAGAGCAAACGGGACAATGTATGTGAAAGCAGTTCATACACTGGTCATCTTTGTGTTAATAACACTATCGGGATTTTTGTCACCTAGCCCTTTCTCCACCCAAATATCACTCCCAATCTGCCTTTTCCTAAGTGCGCTTTTATAGTCAGTACACGAATATATTTCTATGATTACATGTTTACGTATTTGTTCTTCTTGTTAGATTTTTATTCTTGTAGGCAATACAGCACAGTGGTTAGGAGCACAGACACTGAAGCCAGATTTTGCCACTTACTAAGCATGTCCATGGGCAAGTCTCTCCGAGACTTAGCATCTTTAGCCATAGTATGTTAATACTGTCTACACTTCGTGGGACTGTTGTTGAGTATTAAGTGAAATAATACATATAAAGTGCTTAAAACAGTGTCTGACATACAGAAAGTGTTCAGTAAGTCTTAGCTATAACTACTAAGAAAGAGGATCACAATCACTCCTGACATATCCTCAGATAACTGTGGTAGTGATGACAAGTGACAGGATCTTACCTCTGCATGGAATGAGTTACACATACTCATTACATATTTGGACACTTAAACCATACTTGATTTACTGATTCCCCAAAAGGAGACCATCATCCTTCTCTCTTACTTAATTCCCCAGTAGGTTTTCTCCCAGACTGGGTGCCCACCTAATTTGGACACTTCTGAAGCGTGCCTTCTCACCCTTGCTTAGAGATTCCACAGGCTTTCAGTGACCTTTGAGATGACCAGGCTTCAATGGGTGTCCCACCCCAGCTGGAGGAGACCAGTCCGAGGGGATACTGTAGGGTATCATACAGGTAACGCCCAAACAGCCAGCACACTGCTGACGTGTACTGGAAATTTCCATGGCCTAGGTTTTCTGTTCAAAGAAATAGAGAAAAAGAGTTGGGGAAAAGTGGATGGATAGAAACTGTAGCTACTAAATGGGTCTGGATGGTCATGGGTCCTCCCTTGCCTTCCTTTCTAAGACTTTTCAAAAATAAGGTAAGATTGAGGCTGTGAGGAGACACATCTGCCCCTGCCCGGAGGCTTTCTCCACACTGTCACGCTCCTTATTGGTCTGGACCCTCTCATCTCTTTCAAACCTGCCCTAAAAGAGTCTTTTCCAAAGGGGAAAAATGAAGCCTGAGTGATAGTTTCCTTTTATCTGTCTTCATTTGCTTTACTCTGGTAAATACACACGTAACAAAACATTTGACATTTCAACAATCTTCACACGTACAGTTCCGAGACATTATGTTCATCGTGTTGTTCAACCATCACCTTCATCTATTCCCAAAATTTACCATTACCTTAACAGAAGCTCAGTGTCCCTGAAGCATGGAATCTTCCTTTCTCCCTCCCTCCTGCCTGCCCCTGGTAACCACTAACAAACCTCAGTCTCTGTACACTTGCCTATTCTAGATATCTCATTTAAGTGGATCATACAGTATTTGTCCTTACGTTGCTCAAAATGTAGGTTCTCATAATGAGGAAATAGGGCTCTCTACTCAGACAGAGGTAAATGGTAAATACTGTGTTCTCAATCCAGGCATAAGTAATTCACTTACATAATCAGGACCCAGAACTCTGTGGCCAGGTGAGGAGGCTTCCCCCCGCTTCCCATCCCTTACAGGCTCGTTAGAATCTAGAAATATTAACACTCCCCCCCTGGGGGAGGGTCCCCATACCACCCTCTCCTCTTACCCAGCTGCTAACTTGGTTCTGTGCAAGAGAATAAGTGAGCAGGTGGTTTGTTGAGAAGAAATGTGTGTTTTTACCCAATTTTATACCTAGGGTAATGAAAACATGGACAGATAAGTGATGGGAAGTTTGGCCAAAAGAGGAAGAGGCAGAAACCAGAACAAGTGTTTAAATTTTCAGCATAGCCTAGTTCATTTCTCCATACTGCCAGTGACCAACATCAGAATGGCCACTTCTGATGACACAGGAAAGGTGATGAAGAGGGGAACGTGCACACAGACAAAACTGGTGGATCAATTCAATGTAATACTTATAAAAGATCTACTGTAGACAAGCTTCCACCACCTGTACGTCAGTCTGTCCTACTGTGGTGGTTTGCATGTTGCTGTGATGCTGGAAGCTATGCCACCAGTATTTCAAATACCAGCAGGGTGACCCGTGGTGGACAGGTTTCAGTGGAACTTCCAAACTAAGACAAACTAGAAAGAAAGGCCTGGCAACCTACTTCTGAAAATTAGCCAATGAAAACCTCATGGATCACAACAGAACACTGTCCAACTTGCTTCCTTTCGACGCATTATCAGGAAGGATCAATCACTGAAGGAGGACATCATGTTTGGGGAAGCAGAGGGCCAGCGAGAGCAAGGGAAACCTTCCGTGAGATGGATGGCACAACGGCCACAGCAATGGACTCGAACAAGCCGGTGATCGTGAGGATGATATAGGACGGGGCAACGTTTCACTTTGCTGTACATAAGGTTGCCATGAATCATAGCCAATCAATGGCGGCTATCTGTCTATCTATCCGTCTATCTATCCATCTGTCTGTCGGTCTATCTAATCTGTCTGTCTATCTGTCTATCTATCTATCATCTATGTATCTATCTATCAGCTTGGCACTGTGAAGGATCCAAACGCAATACAGTTCTGTTACTCAAAAAGTTTATAGTGAGAGTATAGAGAGGCGGGGCCAAGATGGCGGAATAGTTAGATACTTCCTATGGTCCCTCTTACAACAAAGACCCAAAAAAACAAGTGAATTGATTACATATGACAATCTAGGAGCCCTGGACATCAAAGGCAAAGTAGAGGAATTGGACTAAGTGGCAGGCTGAGGGAGAGACGGTTCAGAAGCACCGAGGAGTTGCCAGACCTGACCTGGTGGGAGCCGGAGTCCTTTAGGCCAGATCAACTCACGTGAGAGGTGAGGCAAGCAGTGGCGTTTGGGAGGCGTTTTCCACATTGGGAGAGGCCCAGCAGCAGAGAGTCTACTCGGACATCCAGAACCAGTGAAAAGGAGTGCTCAATCAGCAAAAGATAAGTACTTGCGTCTGGTCTACCACGCAGATCAAAAACACCCCCCTTTGGGAAAAACCTCTCTCCTATTTACCTTCCCCCCTCCCCACTCTGCACTGTCCTGGGCCGGCTTCAGCGATTGCCGCGTCCCCTGGGCCGGAAATAGGACCCGTCATGCATCCTGAGCCATTCTCCCCACCTTGGAGAGGGAACAAATTAACAAAAAGGGGAAAAAATAACCTGCCAGCTTCCCTAAGCCAGGAACTCAGGGTAGGCACAGCTCTTTGCCTAGGCACAGGCATAAGGTATCCATGGACTCTGAGTGCCTTTCCCCCTGCATAGATTTGTATGGGCCCATTTCAACAGCGTAGGCCCTCATTACAACAGTACAACAAGGTATACACACCTGAAGTCTAACTTCAACTGTTTCAGCTGTGGGGTGGCAGGTTCGTGACATCTGACACTGCTCTGCCCACATGGGGGGCCTGCGGACTGGTGGCTCCACCCACACCACCTAGCTACCCATGACAGGGGTCCAAGAATAACTGGTGCCCCCTAGTCCGTACAGCCAACAGCACTGGGTGCTCATAGTCTAGTTGCAAAAGCCACCCACCTACGCACTCTAGGGAACAGGAAAACGCTTTCCTCCCATACACTCGGGGGCAGCCATCAGCCCCCTGCTTTGCTCAGCATGTGACCCCCTGCTGCAGCCAGATGCCTGTGCCTATATCAATCGCCCATGCCTGTCTAGGACTGCAGGTGAGAGCCTGCACCACACACTTGGTGGCTGACTACCTGGACACCTGAGCTGAATCCATACAGGAGGAGTGGGCAGACTCCTGGGCTCACATACTTAGTGGCAGTTCTGGCCAGCTGGTGGCAGGAGGTGGGAGCTTCAGGGGCACCAGTGATTGGGCTAGCTCACATGAGCAGCATATTTGGGCATATCAAAACAAGAAGCTAGGACACAGTAAGCAAACATAAAATGAATAAATATAATAACTTATTGATGGCTCAGAGACAACAGTCAATATCAAATCACATAAAGAGACAGACCATGATGGCTTCAGCAAGCTCCCAAAATAATTAAGAAATTTTCTGGAGGAAGAGAATTTCTTGGAATTACGAAAGGCAAAATACAAAAGATTAATAAACAGAACTCTTGAAGAGATCAGGAACGAAATCATGCAAAACGCAGACCAAGCAATAGAGGAAATTAAGAAGATTAGAGAAAAGCATAATGACAAACTTAACAGGCTGCAAGAATCCATAGAGAGACAGCAATCAGAAATCCAGAAGATTAACAATAAAATTTCAGAATTAGACAACTCGACAGAAAGTCATAGGAGCAGAATTGAGGCAGTGGAAGTCAGAATTAGTGAGACTGAAGATAAAGCGCTTGACACTAACTTATTTGAGGAGAAATTAGATAAAAGGTTTTAAAGAAATGAAGAAACACTAAGAATTATGTGTGACCCTATCAAGAGGAATAACCTACGAGTGACTGGAGTACCAGAACAGGGAGGGATAACAGAAAATACAGAGAGAATTATTGAAGATTTGTTGGAAGAAAAATTCCCTGATATCATGAAAGATAAGAAGATATCTAACAAAGATGCTCATCAAACCCTACATAAGGTAGATCCCAAAAGAAAGTCACCAAGACATATAATCAAACTTGCCAAAAACAAGATAAAGGGCGTTTTAAGAGTGGCTAGGAATATAAGAAAAGTCATCTACAAAGAAGTGTCAGTAAGACTAACCTCGGACTACTTAGAAGAAACCACACAGGCAAGAAGGCAATGAAATGACATATATAAAGCCTTGAAGGAAAAAAATTGCCAGCCAAGAATTATATATGCAGCAAAACCATCTCTCAAATATGATGGTAAAATCAGGGCATTTCCAGATAAACAGAAATTTAGGGAATTTACAAAAACCAAACCAAAATTACAAGACATACTAAAGGGAGTCCTCCAGTTAGAAAATCAATAACATCAGGTAACAGCCCAAGACTAGAACACAGGACAGAACAACCAGATATCAGTCCAGATAGGGAAATCACAAAAATAAATGAAACTGAAAATAGGGAAACAGAGATGTCACTATGTAAAAGATGACAACATTAAAACAAAAAAGAGGGACTAAAAAATGTAGTCATAGATTTTTCATATGGAGAGGAAGTCAAGGCGATATAAAGAAATAAAAGACTGGTTTAAACTTAGAAAAATAGGGGTAAATATTAAGGTAACCACAAAGGAAACTAACAATCCTATACATCAAAATAAAAAGTTTATAGTGAACAATGGGAATTCAAATCAATTTCAAATTAATTAAAATTGATTAAATACCTACTACGTGCCAGGCACTACTAGGTGGTTTGGTTCGGATACAGTAAAGAAACAGATGTGGAAGGACACAGAACCTCTCCTTGTGGACCTTATAGTCCATAAAATAAGACCAGTATTCAGCAAAATATGGTAAATGCCTCAAGAGAGGTACAAACAAGTGTCAAAAGGATTTAACAGCAAAAGAAAAAATATCAGATTAGATGCACATAGAGAAATCCTGATGAAGATGAACTCCCCCGTGCTACCGTAATACTCTGTGCCTAGCTACATCACTACGCCTTCCTATGACAATCTGTTTAGTGTTTCTCTTATCCCACTATACTATTACCTATTTGAAGTCAGGGACTCACATCATTCACTTCTGTATCCCCAGTGCCTAGCACATGATCGACAGGCATTCAGACAGACAGACAGGCAGGTAGGTAGGCGGACAGACAGATCTCCTTCGATCCATGCTGACCTTATGTACAACAGAACAAGGCATTACCCAGCCCTGTATCATCCTCACAATCACCGGCTTATTCAAGTTCATCATTGGGGCCGTTGTGCCATCCATCTCACCGAGCATCTCCCTTACCCTCACTGACCCTCAACATCCACAAACATGACGTTCTCCTCCAGCAACTGATCCCTCCTGATGACGTGTCCAAAGCAGGTGAGTCGGACAGTGTTCTGTTGTGATCCCCGAGGTTTTCATTGGCTAATTTTCAGAAGTAGATCACCAGGCCTTTCTTCCTAGTCTGTGTTAGTCTGGAAGCTCCACTGAAACCTGTCCACCATGGGTGACCCTTCTGGTATTGGAAATACTGGTGGCATAGCTTCCAGCATCACAGTAACACGCAAGCCACTACAGTAGGACAGACTGACAGAGGGGTGGTGGAGCACTTGACAGAGAGTCAGTAAATGTTTGTTGGCTGCTGTTGGCTGGCTGGGGGTACCTGGTATAAAGGTGGGTCTGTGGATGGGTAGGTGGGGGGAAAGGAAAATAGGAGGAAAGGAGAAAGGCGGGGAAGGCTCAAAGGAACAGAAGTTTATGACAGAGCTGGCATCTAGGCAAAGGAAACAATACATGAAAAGGCATATAAAAAAAACAAAAAAACAAGCCCACTGCCATCGAGTCAATTCCAACTCATAGCAACCCTCTAGTACAGAGTAGAACTGCCCCAAAGGGTTTCCAAGGCTGTAAATCTTTACAGAAGCAGAACTGCCACATCTTTCTCCTGTGGAACTGCTGGTGAGTTTGAACAGCCAACCTTTCAGTTAGCAGCTGAGCACTCTACCACTGCACCACCAGGGCTCCTTGAAATGGCATATAAAAGAAGAGAAATTCTGAATGTTTTTGGCTGGAACACTGTTATAGATTGAATGACATCCTCCAAAAATGTGTGTCAATTTGGCTAGGCCATGATTCCCAGTATTGTATGGTTGTCTCCCATTTTGTGATCTGATGTGATTATCCTATGTGTTGTAAATCCTAACCTCTATGATGTCAATGAGGCAGGGTTAGAGGCAGTTATGTTAATGAGGCAGGACACAATCTACAGGATTAGGCTGTATCTTGAGATATAAAAGACAGAAGCAAGCAAAGAGGAGAGGGACCTCATACCACCAAGAAAGAAAAGCCACAAGTGGAATGCATCCTTTGGACCCGGGGTCCTTGCGCTGAGAAGTTCCTAGACCACGGGAAGATCGATGACAAGGACCTTCCCCTCAAGGCCGACAGAGAAAGTCTACCCCTGGAACTGGCGCCCTGAATTCAGACTTCTAGCCTCCTAAACTGTGAGAGAATAGACTTCCATTTGTTAAAGTCATCCACTTGTGGCATTTCTGTTAGAGTAGCACTAGATGACTAAGACAAACACAGAGAAAAAGAGAATAATGGAAGATAAAACTGGAGGGAGGTTACAGCCATATCTTGGAGTAAAGAAAATGGAAAGCTACTTGAAAATGCCTAAGGATGAGATCGTGTGGTGGGGAAAATAATGGCCCCAAAGATGTCCATGCCCTAATCCCCAGAACCTGTGAATATGTTGGCTTACACGGCTGAAAGGACTTTGCAGATGTGATTAAGGTTACTGCTGAAATGCGCCTTCACAGCTGGATTTCCCTGGCCAGTCTAAATTGCAAACCACTACCCACTCCAGCCCCCACACTCCCTGTCCCTCTTCCCGGATGTATTTTATTTGTTTTTTCTCACTTATTTACTTTTGTCATCACCATGTAACCTAACCTCCAATATTCAAATCCATTCAGTTTCTGAGTTCAGAGACTGAGACTTGGAAACGGAGCTCAAATAACAAGGTACGGTATATTATTCAAATCCAATTCACTCCTGAATTTTAGATAACATGTAGTGAAAGTTCATATAGCAAAGGATTGGTCCAAAAATTTATCTGAATCTATTCAGTTCCTGAGTTCTCTCAGGGAGAGAGAGCATCAGATATTTTGTATATAATTTACTAATTATATTACTCATTTTCTGTATTCCCACACACTATAATGCAAGCTCCATGAAATTAGGCGTCTGTTTAAGTCACTGCTATTTCCCCAGCACTTACAACAGTATCTAGCACATAGTAGGCACTCAAATATTTTTTAAATGAATTAACAGTCGAAAGTGTAGGAGCAATTGAGATCACTAAGGTAAAGCAAGTACAGACAAAAAGAAAAAGGCCTAGAAAGATCCTGGTGGAGCACATTTGGAGGAAGGAACTGAAGAAAGCAAAGAAACAGGGAGGAAGCAGTCAGAGGAGAAGCAGGAAAAGGAAGTACCGCAGAAACTAAGGGGAGCAGCTCAAGCAAGGGAGCTGCCAACAGTGTCACAGGCCGCACAGGCTGACATTTCTGAAAACTACAAATCGGTCTCCAAGATTAGAAGGAAAGTAGTGACCTCGAGGTGAACAAATTGTTGAGGTGGAAGCAGAAGCTAAATTACAAGGGGCTAAAGAGTGAATGGATGGAAAGGCAGTGAAAAGAATTAAAACAGAAGATGTAGGAAGGTATAACGAAGGGAAGGAGAGAAACGAGAAAGCGATGAGAAGAGTGTGTGTTATGATTTGCTTTCTTTGGTTTTGCTAGAACAAACGAAACTATACCTACACCTCACTTACCGACGATCTCGCTATCCAACGGTTTGCATTTACAACAACAGTAAAAAATCTGCTACCCGACTATTTTGTGCATTAACCACGTACGCCAAGGTGTGAGGCGAGAGTAATGCCGATTGTGATGGCACAATGTCAACTGGGCTGAGCCATGACTCACAGTGGTTTGACAGTTAGGTAATGATGTAGCTTGGCAGTTATGTAAAGATGAAATTGGAGAGTTATGTAATGACGTAATTTGGCAATTATGTAAAGATGCAGTCATCCTCCATTTTCTGACCTGATATGGTCACTCTCCATTTCTGCATAACGCCGATTTTCGCATAACAACCTGGTCTTTGGAACCTAACCATGCCAATAAGTGAAGGGTGGGTGTATAAGCTCTAAGAGAAGGGGCTGTGACTTACCACTGCCTCCTCAAGGTCTAGCACAGAGCCTGACATGGAGTAGGCATGATATAAAGATTTAGTGCTGAAAGGACAGAGTGAGGGAAGAACAGAGCCTAAGGGATAAAAGAAGGCCCTGGAGGGCACAAGAGCCCACATCAAGTTAGCCCTGAAGGACACCAGTCAATCATCTTCAGACACAGAAACAAAGAGAAGAGAAAAACATACAGAGTGAAGGCACTGGAGAGAAATGCTGGCAGAACTGGTGCCGAATGGCCTCAATATTTTCATGAAGTTAAAGGAAGGGTCATCTGCTCATAGCAAGGGGGCAGATTCATTGTTAGAGTCCTGGGAAGAAAATGTATGGAACAGTCACAGTAATGGGATACAGAGTCAAAAAGAAATTAGCAAAAGCCTTAAAAGCTTGTAAGTGACAATCTAAGATACAACTATTGGTCTCTACTCATCTGGAGCAAAAAAGAAAGACAAAACCAAAGACTCGAAGAGAAACTAGTCTACAGGACAAACAGCCTACACGAACCATGGCCTCCCCTACCCTGAGACGAGAAGAACGAGATGGTGACCGGCTACCACTACCGACGTTCCAATCAGGGCCGCAAAAGACAGACCCTGACAGAATGGGAGAAAAACGTGGAATGGAATCTCAACTTCCTAAAAAATAAAATAAAAAAAAAAAAGACCTACTGGACTGGTTGAGACTGAAGGACTCCCCAAGACTACTGCTTTGAGACACTCTTCAAACCTTGAGCCAAAACTAACCCAAGGTTATCTTTCAGCTAAATAACAAATTGGTCCAAAAAATAACGTCACCTGTATGTAAGTAATGTGCTCCTTTAAAAAATCACCTATATGAGACCAAATGGTCAACAATTTCTTCAACACAAACATAAGAATGTAAGGGGGCAGGGAAACTAGATTAATGGAAATGAACAAGAACAGAAATAATGGGAACGTTCACATATTGTAAAGAATGTAACCAATGTCACTGAACAACTTGTGTAGAAATCGTTGAAAGAGTACCTAAACTGCTATATAAATCTTTACCAAAAACACAATACTATTTTTAAAAAATTAGTAAAACCTTTTTTGCATAATAAATAGATAACCAAATTCAGGATTACAGCCTCCACTTAGGGCACTAACCCATCATATAAGAGACGGCATGTTTGTGAGCCATCACTTACCTGAGGTGGGCTTTGACCACGGCAAGTCAAGCCCAGCAAGGTCCTCCAGCTCCTGCTCTGCCTGAACGAGAGAAACTGAGAGGATGCGAACAGACTGATAGGCAGCAGTATCAGACATCTCTCTTGTAGCATTAAATATCTAGAAAAGAAATAAGAATGTCATTTCTTACACCAACCTAGTAGGTGGACAACTATCCTCCCACCTCTTAGTAAATACTGCCAATCTTTGGAGCTCCTTTTGAGCCCTCAACATACCAAGATCAAATGAATAACCAAAACTAATACTGGGCTGGACTGAATCCCCTTGATCCAATGTGAATCCACCTTGACCAACAGAAGGTATGATGAATCACGTCCCCAAAGAGTTGAGTAGGAATATAATGAAGCCTGTGATCTTAAGGCCTGTAAAACCAGCTGCTGTGGAGTCAGTTTCAACTCATGGCAACCCCATGTCTGTCAGAGGACAACTATGCTCCATGAGGTTTTCAATGGCTAATGTTTTGGAAGTAGACTGCTGGGCCTTTTTTCCCAGGTGCCTCTGGGTGGACTCAAACCTCCAACCTTTCAGTTGGCAGCCAAGAGTGTTAACTGTTTGTGCCAGGCAGGGACTCCGTAATCTTGAGGAGGATGTCTGTATTAGACTACAGGAGGTATGAAGTGGTTTCGCCTAAAGAAGACTATCGATTAGATCATTGTGATATCTTACACTAAACTACTTCTACTCAGAAAAAGCATCTGACCCCACAAAGCCATGGCAGTCCATTTCTGGAGAGGTTGGTGGTGAGGGCCTATGCAGAGTGAGGAAGGCCATGGGGCGGGGGGTGGGGGGTAGACTCTGCGGTCCGTACCACACGAAGAGAATGGGATTCAAAAGAAACACGCCTGAGAAATGTTTGTTGAACTACTGAAGCATTCGGAAATTGGTCTCCAAATACCTATATTCTCACCTCGGTCCTAGTACCCCACCAGAGAGATGCATGGGAGGCAAGGAGATTGAAAAGGTGGGGTTCAGGGTGATTGCTTGGAAAAGTCCCAAGAAATGAGACAAAGAAAAGCGTCCATCCAAAGAAACATCATGCCATCCCCAATCACCTTCTGAAACTTGGCAAAGAGTACGACAGGAATGGCTTAGGGGTTTCCTGGATGAGAACGTGGGCTATACTGAGTCGTTTCTTTGTTAGACTCTTAGTCTGCCTCAAAGAGCTTATATACAATTGCTATTTCCTTTAATCCTAGTTTTTTTAATTATGTTTTTTATGTAAAAAATGTTTCTGGAATGTATTTTGCTTTTTTATTGTGCATTTGTGTTTTGGGGACCTTCTGTTCCCCACACCCCCCTCCCCCACCACCAGACCAGTCCACCTTCTCTCAAAACAAAGGGCTGAGAGGAGCATCAGGAAGCCCAGTTACCATTCGCCTCAGGGAACAAGCGCTCCAGCTGGGATGGGGCTGCCACAGCTCTGTGCACAGGAAGCTGGGACACTTTCCATTGGCTGCGAGCCACAGAGTGCGCAGCTGGCTCGCTGTGCCTGCCGCCCACCACAGAGGATACAGCTGGCCCTCCAGCCCACAGTGTAAGAGAAAAGATGGACGGGCCAGGGTGCCCCCACAGAGCGTTCCATTCAAACACCCTGCCCCTTGAATCGCCTTGTGACTTGCCGCTGAGCTTGCTGCGGCCTGTAAGATGACCAGGTGACCAGATGCCAAGGAAACAGTGCTTTTGGTCCTAACGGGAGGCACAGGCTCACGTGCTCCCTGGGTAGCAGCAGCTCTCTAGGCCCTCTCAGGACAGAGGTTATATATGGTCTCAGGAAAATTCCACAGGAAATCCAGACCTGTTCCTACTTGCCTGGCACAAGGAAGACAAGCGCTGAAGAGAAAGAAGAGGCTAATGCACTCACAGTATATTCTGGCAGGGAAATTATTTTTCAGCACTAAGTACCTGTAAAAAGTCGTCGCTCTTGAAATTCAATTCTGCACTAAGCACTAAGGATGGTATGCTGCTTCCATGGAAACAGTGGATGAACTGCACTCCTTCTCTCCACCCACACTAGCTTCTCCAGCGACTGGGAGCTCAAGTGCCTCATCATAAGGTGATGCCAGCTCAGGAAGGCACAATGAGAGAGCGGCTACTGCCTCTTAGAACCACTGTTAACACCGTGGGGTACCTACCGCAAGGCCAGCACGCAGGGTGGCCGACATTCTCCTATCTCATTACCGGGACATGGAACTGGATCCAAAATGTTGCCTGGAAAACTTCCATTTTCAAACTCACCTTAGTGTAATACTTTAGCCAAAACTTGAAAGCCAAAGAAAGTGTTAAGAAAAATGGGCTGGGGGAGAAATTCTTGCTGTACCTGAGGACAATTACTTCTGGAATTGGTATATCCTTTCGCCGTATCACTAGGCCCTTTTGATGGAAGCGTTTCCTCAGGGGATATTGGCAGCAAATTTAGGAATAAAGAGATTTCAGGAAGATTTTCATTTAAATGACACTTGGTTTCCCTGCTGATGAAAGGGAAAGCCTACTCCATCTGCTGAGATCAGATTTCATCTCATCAAACACCTCAGTGTAATTATTTTTCTACCAAGTATTTAAATGAGGATGTAAATGAATACCAAGGTATGGGAAGTCATTAACGGGGCAGCCGCTGGGGGAGAGAGCACTGCTGGTTCCCAAGGGAAGGACCCCATGCGCCATCAAAGCAGCTGCTCGCCTGTGTTCATTTTGTAACCTTTACACCACATTCTTGAATTAATGAGGAAGCGTCAAGAATCCATCCCTCAGAAAATCTTGGCACAGGGTCTGCATGGGAAGCAAGGCGTGTGTGTGAGGGTGTGTGCTGAAGGGGATGGGGATGGGGAAACTTAGCTTACTTAAAAAAACTGGGACCCTGTAGGTTATTTTACCTTACACTACGTATAACAGAACAATTCTAAAATTGAGTTAATAACTATAAATGAACCAGCCATCATAACTCCCGTGAAAATTTTTATCGTAATGTCGTACCCGCCCTTCTCTTCTGGATTTTAATTTCTCTACTTGTAAAGTAGGGATGTGGGGATTGCCAAGATATTGAAAAGTGGGTTCCCCGTCTAACCCTGGCCATCTTTTTCTGAGCCTAACTGGAAATATCCAAGTCTTAAAGCCTACCCTGCCTTAGGAGGCAACAGATGAACATTTAGACTTGTCTCCATTTATAAACATCTCACTCGGTGTTATAAATATAACACTCCATTTAAAAATCCTACTTTACCCTACAACAAGATGGGCATACAATCTGCCATTTCCTTCATTTGAATGCAAAGAGCGGTAGGTTACAGTAGGAATCTCACCTCCTCAGAAGTCATGGGGGGGCAGAGGGAGAAAGCAAGCTGACAGTGTGTATGTGTGTGTGTTTGTTGCGGGTCTGCATGAAAAACAGAGAAAAAAGAATAAAGGGGAGGTCATGTAGCACATACCTGTGATCAAAAATTAAAATTCTACAGACTGTTAAGAGACTGGAAAACTTGGCTTTTGGTACTGTCAGCCCCTAAAATGCTATCTTGCAAAGTAAGTGCGAGATTAAAAACTAATAGTGTTTGGACATTTCGGATGGAATCTTTTTTCTATTTCCCTGCAATCTTAGCTTAACACCAAAGATGCTTAATAGTAAATTCTAGGCAGAAGGCAATGTGTTTACTCTTAACAATCAAAATCTGATTTAGCTTGACACGAAATGGGACAGGATCCCCTGGCACAGACCGCCACCGAAGACATGACTGTACAGACACAAACAGATCTGGTCTGTGCAAGTCTGTGCAAACAGGGAATTCCAATTAAAGCATTAAGGAAAGTACCGTTTTCCTTAATGAGTTAACAGCAATTTCACTTCTATACAAAACCATGCTTTCTATCAAGAGGTGCACTTATGCAAAAGAGAGCCTAGTCAAAAGTTCAGCTTAATAAACAATTCGATGCAAAAAGCTTCCATATATTTAAGTAAGGCAGGAAGCAATAGTAAATAAAATATGGGTTAGGATGAACAGAAACACAAGAATGTAGATTCTGAAGTAGAAATCTAATCATGAAAAGAAGTACATATATCTAGAGTAGGATTTTTTGGGCAGAATGAGTTAGTAATAGATTAAAAAGAGAAAAAGAAAAAAGAAGAAGAAACTCTGAGGGACAGAAGCTACAGAAGCAAGAAAAAAGGAAATTATAAAATCATAAAGTATAATATAAAAGGACTCAATTTTAGACATTTTTCAGAAGACGAAATGAATTGAGACCATGGTCTAATTGTAGAGATTTTGAAATGTGAGATATGGGGAAGGACATAATGAAAGAAAGGCAGGAAAATTAAAATCAACTTGAGGAGAAACTGAATTTTGGAGAAATAGCTAGGAAAAAACAGTAGTCTTTCCAAGTTCTTAACCTATTAAAGAAAATAAATCAAGGTATACAAAACATATTAGTGCCAACCAATAATTCAAACTGAAAAAACATATTCCTAAGATTCTTATTTATATAATACGCCTGCTTATTGTAAGCTGAACTCTCGATATTTAAGAGATTGGTTAAGCCAATCTCAACTTTTTGTCTTTGCAATTTTCTTTTAAAAATTATAGTTCTTACATGTTCATTACAGAAGAATTAGAAAATACAGATAAGCAAAGAGAATCAACCCCAATTCGAAATGTACTAAAGAGCTTAACTCATACTAATTTCTCTGAGTAAAACATATTTAATAATTTTTAGCCAACATTTTGTTTATGTATTTTAAACATATCTATGGACTTGCTATTATACTGTCAATCCCTGACCCTAATTTAAATGAGGCAACAACCGTCTTCCCTACTTTTACTTTTAAATCGATAGCTTACACTAAATAAATGAAGTAGTGACAATTCTGAGGCCCAACACGCTAATGTCTGCTACATGCTAGCCAGAAATGGTCTCTCCTCTTTACTCTAGACTGTTTTGCTTTTGTTTTTTAATTAGAAAATACAGTTGATCCCAGAAAGAAACTTGAGTGCTAAGGACACATGGCACCAAGGCTTTTGTTCTCCCACTGCTTCCTTGCTAGAATACAAACCGAACTATTCAGAGGTTTGCTGCCCTTGGTAACTTTTTTAACATTCTTTTTATCCAGACTTACCAAAGTGACCTCTCTCTCAGTCTATCAGAGGGGTCCTATTCTCTAGTAGCAATGGAGACAGAACACTTGGAGGTGAAGTTCACCCCTGACCGACATATTGGCAACGCGCATTCTCCATTCTGTCAAACTCGATTCTCCACAAACTGTACATGTCCCATCCCTGCATTGGAGTCTCCCTAGTGCTCTTCCTCCCAGCTGCTCTAGCCGGTAAAGAGAGCCCAGCGAACCCCCTTGTGCACTCACAGGGAAAGGGGAAAAAAAATGCTAGGTCTCAAAATCTAACAACAATTAACTCTCAAAGGCCGTGACTGAAATAAAGAAAAATTAACACTAACAAAAGAAATCTTAGGCTATGTAAAAGTTGAGCAAAGAAAGTCATCACTGGTCCATTATTTCTTCTTTCCATGTAAAGAAAAAAAATGTACATATCAATTTGATGTGACACCTAATTGAAGTATCAAGATGTCTGCAGTTTACCTTGAAATGGTTCACCAAAAAAAAAAAAAAGATAAACCTTATATGGCAAAATAGTAGCAATTGTCAGTCTAGGTGATGGGTAAATACGTGTTTATTGTAGAAGTCACAACTTTTCTTTGTGTTTGAACTTTTTGCAATATAAAGTTGAAAAAATAATGACATATTTAGACAGTACTTTTCAATTTGTGAAGGCCTTTCAGAGACAAACAAAATAATTCAGGCTTCACACTGGCCCTGTAAATAAGTTAGGTCAAAAATAATCATAGGTCATATGGTTATAAAAACTAAGCCTCAGAAATACCATTTGATTGGCTCCAAGTCATACACGTCAAAGACAAAACCAACACTCAGTCTCAATTTTTGAATTTCCATGCCAACAAAAGTCATGTGGTATATTAGTCTCTCAGCATTAAAACAAAATGTAATAGTTTTGATTTCGTAGGCTCTCTCCAGAACCTCATCTTCCAAAACCAATCAAGAAGAAGAGCCATCTACTTCGTCTTCAGTCTGCTATGAAATCTCCATTGCCATCAGATACTCTCCGGCTTCTGCCTTCAGCAGGCAGGTGGCAAAACAGTGCCTCACACACTGTGGTGAGGAGTCACTCTGCCAGTTCACATCCTGGCTCCACTATTAACGGAGTGACCTTCGGCAGGTAATTTAATCCCAGTGTACTGCAGTTTCCTCACCTGTGAGAAGTGACTAATAACAGTACTTACCTCATAAAGTTAAATCAAATTAATCAATGCATGAAAAGCACTTAGAACAGATCTTGGCACATGGTACTGTTATTGTCAGGTGCCGTCAAGCTGATTTTTGACTCATAGCATCACCATGTGACAGAGTAGAACCACCCAGTAGGGTTTTCTAGGCTGTAATCTTCTCCCTCAGAGTCTTGAACTACCAAGCCTTTGGTTAGCAGCTGAGCATTTAACCACTGCACCACAGGGCTCCTTTAAGTACTCAATAAATAGTAACCTACCTCCTTCTCCTCATTCTTTTTTTCCTTTTTCATCATTATTTACTATTGCTGTGACTATTCAAGTTACCTGTGAAACAGTCATCTCCATGTTACTCTGCCCACTGCAAAGCCAGACATCTCCAAATAAGACATCATGAACTCTGAGGGTGAAGTTCATTCTCCCAATGGTCTGTTCTGCCATCACTTCAAAAGGCCCACCAGGCTTCATAGGATCCAGTACCACCATCCAGGTATTAGAGTCTGCTGAAATAATAACAGGGCTCCAAGGAATTAATCAGTCAATTCATTAAAATAAAATTAAAGCTCAATCTGTTATGCCCCGTACTCACTTGCGGCTCTTCCCAGTCTCTATGATAAGCTGAATTCAAAGCTATGAAGATGGGCCAAATCTTAGACACAGTGAGAGACCTAACAAGAGCAGCAGCATTCCTATCCCTAATCTGTATCCATCGCTCCTCACTTTTAACTAAGCATTTATAAGAAAAATAAACTGGCCAGTTATAATCCTAAGCGATAAACAAAAATACACATGTTAAAACTCAAGGGACTTTAGTAAAAAATAAAGAGAAATTCTTGTTGTACTAGCCAACAGTGGCTATTAGAAGAATCATAATCTTTTAGATTTACGCTGTGTCCCAAACTAGCATATAATTAGCCAATCAATGTAAGCACGGATTAAAGAAAATCACTTACAATCTGAAACTTCCCCTTCCTTGGTGGTATCTCCCTCGTTATCCACCCCCACTCCCTCCCCGTGTTGGTAACAAGCACTAACACTCCCATGGGCTCAGGGTCTCCTACCAACAGTCAGACAGGCGAGCAGAGAAACTGACACATAAAGAAGTAGTGGGAGGCACAGAAATTCATCTGTGAGGAAGATATTTAGATTTACCCAATTAATTATTTTCTTAAGAGTTATTTATAAGACTTAAGGTTTTTGGATCCTATTAAAAACCAAAACAAAAAACAAACCCACTGCCATCAAGTCGATTCCAACTCATAGTGACCCTACAGAACAAAGCAGAACTGCCCCATGGAGTTTCCAAGGAGGAGCTGGTGGATTCAAACTGCCAACCTTTTGGTTAGCAGCCATAGCTCTCAACCACTACACCCCCAGGGTTTCCTCAGACCATATTAGGGAGATGAAAAGCTATTCAAGACCCTATTTCAGAAATTCATAGCATACTCCTTAGGAACGACCCCCCACCACCTTCCTACCTCTCGCCCACTCACCCCACCCAACGGTCAACATCATACTAGAAAATTAAGGAAAATACCCTCCACATGGGAAAATTATGTCTAGAAGAACCAAATAACGTGAACAAAGTTGAAGAAATGAGAGTGGGAATATAGACCAAAAAATAAAGGAATGAACATTTTAACATAAATATTCTTGGCATACCGCAGCGGTGTCGCTGGGGGTGCAGGGGGTGCAGTCTGTACCAGGTGAGACTATCAGAGGGGTTGACACCAAAATGACTGTCTGTAAAGATACTCCTGTAATTAGTTACAGCAACAAAAACATCATCCATAAGCTCAGCTTACACATAGCAATATATCTACAAGGCTAAAACCCAGTGCTGATTTACTGTTTGAACCTTCTAATGCGCTCCGGTCAGAGCTGTCATTATTACCCAACTATAATGAGTCTTCGAATCCCGTGGTTTCGTCTGCACGCACTACAAGCACGCGCTGCTGTTCTCATTGCTGCTGGTGTTTTTATAGTTGATCATTTTGTCAAATTTTCTGGTGTTTTAGCTGCAATATTGTGGTAATTAGTATTTGTGAACCTATATCAATAACCTTTTTGAGAATGAAGTAGGAATTAAAGGAAAAGAAGGAGTGATATGATATACAGGAATTACGATTTACAAGTAACATTAGTATAAAAAACATTACTAAGGATTCTGTACGGTCCGGTACGGTAGGAGGTCCACGGGGTGGGGAGGGTGACTCCAACTCTAGTGACACCACTGGCATACTGCCATAGAATATGAATGGATCTATGTGTGTGCCCATCAGATCTATATGTGTGCCCATCAGATCAGTGTAAATTCAAAAGGGATGAACGCTAAGAACTGGAAATGGAGCACCCTGAGGTTATTACACCCAACCTGCAAGAAACAGTAGTTATAATAAGTATTAAGTGCCTTCTGTGTGCTAAACGCTGTGCTAAGTTCTTTCCAATCAGCAACAGTTAAGCAGATGCATGAGACATCTGGATGCACGATAAGAGGTTAGTAAAGGCTCAAACCATAAGGGATTGCTCAGAGTCCTAGGGGAAAATCTCCAAAAACTTCCAATGTGTCTGAGAAAGTATGTATGTTTGCTCCTCTTAAAAGCATACCCAACCGAGCTACTGCTATCCCCAAGAGGTCACTTAAGCCCTAGGATCAAACGTTCGCTGTTGTTTTTATACTGCCAATAGACAGACATCAACATACTGAATGTATAATTCACCTAAAGCAGAAGAATCACTGTTTTGGAAACAGTGGGCAGCTAGTACAGACTGTGTCACACAGGTGTGATGTGCTCCGTATGGCTCACACTTCTGCGCAGGCAGACGGTCCAATCTGTCCCAAACAGAGTCTTGCCAAGGTCTTCCCAGGCTTCCCGCACTGACATATCTTCCTAGAGCTCTGTCTCTCTGCCACCACCATTACTCACTTATGCTGATGAGGTCAACCCCCAGACAACCTAGCACAGGACTGTTTCTTAGCCTTCTCCTCCTACACAAGCTATTTCTAGCCACTGCTATTAATTCGGTGTTTACACTCAGCCCCAATCCGGGCAACATGGCTGGTGGGGAAAACTACCTTCATGAGAGCTTCTAAGAAGTTGAGCTGCCTGTACTGGGTAGAACAGTGCCCCCAAAAAGTCATGCCCACCCAAAACCTCTGAGTACGACCTTATCTGGAAATAGGGTCACTGCAGACGCAGTCCAGTAACGATGAGGTCACACTGGATGAGAGTGGACCCTAATCCAGTGACTGGTGTCCTTATAGGAAGAGGGGAATCTGGACCCAGTCACACACAGAAGGAAAACAGCCGTACGATGGAGGTAGAGACTGGAGTTGGGCTGCCACAAGCCAAGGAACGCTAAGGTACCCACTCTGTGGTAATTGGTTACAGCAGCCCTAGGAAATTAATAAATTGCCCAGTGTCTTAGGCTGGGTTCTCTAGAGAAGCAAAACCAGCAAAGGGTATATATATATATATGCAGAGAAAGAGTACATCAAGGAAACAGCTCACGTGATTGTAGAGGCTAGAACGTCCCAAGTCCATGGATCAGGGTAGAGGCCTCTCCCAAGTTACACAGCTGCAGAAGCTGGCAAGCCCAAGATTGGCAGGTCGGAGATCAGGGCCCCCGATCCCAGGCTGTGCAGATCAACAAATCCCAGGTTCGGCAGATAAGCTGACAGCTCAAGTCCCAAGAACGGGAGATGAGACGACAGGAAGCAGCCGCAGGATCCAGAGAGAGCAAAAAGCCAGAACGTCTGGTTATACACAGATGCGGGCCACACCCCCAAGCAGACTCCCTTTCATCTGATTGGCTACTCACAGTATATTCAATCATGGGAGCGATTACATTAAAACACTGATCATGGCCCAGCCAAGTTGACACACAATCTCAACCAACACACCCAGCAATAAAGAGACAATACCAAACCAAGAAACCCGTTGCCCTCGACTCAATTCCAATTCATAGCGACCTCATAGGACAGAGTAGAACTGCCCCAAAGGATTTTCAAGGAGCAGTTTGGTAGATTCGAACTGCCAACCTTTTAGAACTGCTCCATAAGGTTTTCAAGGCCTTGACCTTTTGGAAGCAGATTGTTAGGCCTTACTTCCGAGGTGCCTCCTGGTGGGTTTGAACCGCCAGCCTTTCGGTTAGTAGTCCAGCACTTAAGCATTTGCACCACCCAGGGACTCCATTAGGCCCAGAAGGAACCAAAACAACTTTTGTTTAGAAAACCGATCAGGATCAGTAGAAAACCAGTGAACGGTGAACTTTTTGTGGTCGGCGACTCAATTTTATTTCTTGGGCTCTGCCAAACGGATCCCGATGTAGTTTCTAAGAACCGCAAATGGACTTCATTAGCCTATGGTGAGCCCCACTTCATCAACCAGTCCTGACCTGACAAGCCGAAGACTGGTAATCCCTTCTCCTTGTAAACGCAGCGGTCTATGCCTTATAATTCTACCCTTGTCGTTGGTCAGAGAAACAGTCTTCACAGGGCTTGCTCTCCCTTGTGTGGACTTAGGTAGGAGAAGACCGCGTTGTTTAACCAGCCGTTTCTGAGTCAGCGAAGACCGCGTTGTTTAAACCAGCCGTTTCTGAGTCAGCGAAGACCGCGTTGTTTAAACCAGCCGTTTCTGAGTCAGCAAAGACCGCGTTGTTTAAACCAGCCGTTTCTGAGTCAGC